TCGTTCTCTTTTAAAAAACACCAGTACAATAAGGTTTTTTATTCAATAACCCAAATTTGAACATTTGTTCGTTTTTTGAATTAAATTATAATTTTCTTCCCAACAAACAATTCCATTTTCCAATGGTACAATTATTTCAAAATGTGTTAATTTTGATATTATTATTTCACATATTTTTATTGTTGAAGGAATTACAAATGACGAAGTTGTATAATTTTCACCACTTAACAATTCCGTTTGTGTATTTATTTCGGAAAGTACATTTTGTATTGATTCCAATACAGTTGGAGTAATAACCTGTCAACCGGAACTAACCTGTCAGCCATTTTTTAAATTCAATTTATGGTATTTTAAACATTAATTTGTCTTTTTTAGATTATTCAAGTTCAACAAAATCAATAACAAAAAGCAATGAACAAATGAGATGTTTTCTTCGAATTTCAAAAACGAAAAAAAAGCCGAAAAAAACTTCAAAAATTTCCAAAATTTGTCCTCATTTCACCAAAAAGAGTCATCGTTTTATAAAACATTTTCTTTTTTACTTGGTTATATTTTCTTGATTTTTTTAGAAAATGTCTTCTCGTATTGAATCAATTTCAAAGTCTTTACCAAAAAGTTAAAGTGGAAGATATTCAAATCCCCCAAAACCCCAATTTTTGCACAAAACAATCCATTATTTTCATTTAAACAATTTTCTTTTAGGTTTTAAATCGTTCATAACTTTAAACATCCTTTTCATGTTGCCAAGTTTTTCATCACTGAATCTGATGTCCTGCTTCCCTAATCCTCAAAATCGCGTTGTCGCTGATCACAACACTGAAATTCCAAAAGAGACAAAAGAAACAAAACAGTTGAAGAAACCTTCTCTTTCACAAAACAGCATGCGTCAAAATGTCCAGAAATCAAAAGAGAATGGTATCTCTCCAAAGAGACTTCTTCTTGTTGAACAGGCTCTTGAACAAGCTTGGTAGGATGAGACATTTTTGAAGGAGACTTCCACGCGTGAACAAATCCATTATTTGCATTACAAACTTCATCACTCAACAAGAACTATCCAGATGTTTTATGGTGCTTCAAAATCCACGATAGACACCCACACCAGAAGAAAAATCGGAGAATTGAAGAACGGCAAACCTCCAAAAATCTCCAAAGATGTTGATAACAAAATCGACAAGTGGCTTGTCACTTGTAAACGAAAGGGAATTGCATGTACTGTCACTGGAATTCTTCGGTACCTGAGTCAAAAAGTACCCGACATTGAAATATCGCGACGGGGTCTCATTAAACACATGAAGAAGTTGAAGATTGGTCTCAAGAAAGCAACCGCAGAAGATCTAGACAGAATCTCCATCAATCCAGAGAACATTGTTGATAACTTCAAAGAGCTCAAAAAGTTTGACAATATACCAGCAGCCCTATGTGTAAACATCGATGAAATGGGAAGCAACGATTGGGCAGACAGAAAAAATCTATACATCTTCCAGAGTAATGAGGACAAGACAACCCCAAAGCACGGTTGTAGCAGGTCAAGTAAACATTCCACGGCGATAGTTGGAATTTGTGCGGATGGAACAACGTTGCCTTTCGGCATTGTCATCAACCAAAAACAGTTCTTTTGCGAAGCCAAAGAGAAGTTCCCCGACTGTTTCGTCTATTACACAAACAACGGGTTCGTCAACAAATATATCTTCAAACATTGGATGGCGCAGATCATCAAAGTGATCGTCAAAAAGAGAACAGAACTTGGTCTTGATGGTAGTTGGGGACTTATCACAATGGACAAATTTTCGGGACATCTTGACGAGGAGCTTCTTGGATGGCTCGAAGCAAACCAGATCAAATTGCACACATACTGCCCCCATTCAAGTCGCCTCACTCAACCACTCGATCTGTGTTTTTTTGGAGCAGTCAAAAAACACTCAAACGCAGCAAAGTCACTTGTTCGAAAGAGCGCTCCCACCAAAGAAATCACCACTGTGTTTTCAGAAGTTGAACAAGAAGATGAGTCCGACCAGGAAGTCAACGACGCCTTCAATAAATTCATCGAAGATCCAGAGGACGTAGAGATTATGAAGTCGTTTGCAATGGAAGATGAAGCAATCAACAAAGTCCTTAATGGAAACAAAAGATCTCCAAACGGAAGGAAAATCAGCCTCAAAATCTCCTCACTTCTCAAGACTCTGAGTGATCGCTCAACCATTGGAACAGTGGTGGCTTCATTTGAGAGAAGTGGGATTGTCGTCAGAGAGGTAGATGGTATCAAACGAATAAGATTTGACCCGAATCGAGCTGCGCGGTTTGTAAAAGAATATACTTCCATCGCGACAAGAACGGACATTCTGGAAATGTCGGAAATTCCGAATGAACCCGTTCTCATTGGGACTGTCGATGAAAAGGTTGTTGAAGTTCCCAACCTTTTGTCGACTCTGGTTGCGACGATCACAAAAGGTGTCGAAGCAATAGAGAACATTTGTTGTTCCGAAGAAATGAGACAGAGTGTAATCCTGATACAGAACGAGATCCAGAAACTGACAGAGTTTAAAGAAAGATACAACCCAAGTGAGAAGTCTTTGGAACCAGTTAAGTTTTATCTGGATCAAGACAAAAGGAGATACTTTGTTTCCAGCAAGCATGGTGACGATATCACGTTTTCAAGGAGGTGGTTCGAAAGGATGGATGGTGTTAATGTAACAGTGGTTCAACCCGATTGCCCCATAACCCCAATTCAAAACATCCCAGGAAGTTCCCAACAAAACGAGCAAAGAGGAAGAAGAACAAGTCGTAGAGGAAGAGCTCCAAGCAATAACAGAAGAATGGACACCAACAGCATTTCCAACGCCGGTCAAGAGACTTCCATCCATAATACTCAACAAGTAGAATTGCGACCGCCCCGGTTGGATTCTTTTCAACCTGACGGTTCTGGAACCCCCAGTTTCCAACCCACCTCCGCTGTTAATTATGTGACACTCGGAACCCCATTCGAAACACTGGGGTATTCTCAAAGAAGACAAACCTTTTTTTCTCCTCAATTCTTCCCACATAGTGAATTGCAACAGCGTGGCTGAATGTTGTCCCAGCATCCCACCCATCAGCTTCAGCTGAGGCTGGTCCTCGATGGCCAAGGCGTTGATGAAGAACATCACAATTAAGATGTCTTTTACTCTCATCGTTTTTCTTTTTTAGTTTTACTTTTTTTACAAAACCCAAAAATACCAAAAATACCAAAAAAGCTGACAGGTTTCATTTTTGAGATGAAATCTCAAAAAACAAATGCCATAAAAAACGTACTAATCCGGGTTTTAGGCTTCCTAAAGGAAAATGGCTGACAGGTTAGTTCTGGTTGACAGGTTAGTACCTCACCTGTAGTTCGAAATTTGGTGTTTGAAGTTCACTTTTTGTTTTTTCTTTATTAAGTACAATCTCAAGCCCTTCTCTTTTTTTAATATACTTTTTAACATTAAAAACACTGTATTGAAACGGGTTTCTACTCTATTCACAAAATTGCTGTTAAAAAAATCAATTTTGAACTCCTTTTTTCTTTCTTTGTTTTCATTACAATCTAAATGATCGTTAATTGAAGGAACAATTTTTCTTTTGAGTGATTTGTCCAAACATTCATATTGCAATTCTTCAAATGCCTCTTTTTTGTTGTTGAAATATGCTACAATTTTGTCGCATTTAGATATTTCTAAATTTAATTTATTTACTATTTTAAAGGCTGTCTTTAAGCAAGTTTGAAAAGCGTGGGCATTGCAATCTAATCTACAACATGTTTTATTTATTTGTTCCTCCCTTGTTGTATTCTCTTGTCTTTCTCCAGATTTATTGTTAAATGCACACACCATATTTGCTCCTCGATCAGTCACCACAACAAAATTTTCAATTTCGTTCTCATTGTGTATTATTTCATAATTCATCAGCGTCTCAACAAAGGCTTTTTTAATCGCTTTCCCCGTTACTGGTCTTTCTATTGTAGGACTTGATAGAAAAACACATTGTTCTTCTTTAGAACGATCCAGATATTGGCACATAATTGATATAGTTTCTCCTTATAATGTCCCCGAAAATGTTCTTCCATCTAAAGTGAATGAAAGACTGGAAATTCTGTTTTTAAGCTTTTCCTTGATTATTTCAACAGTTTCATTTTTCAATTTTATTATTATTCTTTTTCAACAATTCCACTCCAGGTGGACAATATTTACCATTCGAAATTGTAGAACAAAAATCTTTAAAAAGGGGATCGGCGACAGTCGAAAGAGGCAATTTTTTCCAATTACAAATTTAATAAGTGAATGTGTAATTTTAATTTTATTTTCTTCGTTTTTTGATCTTTTAAATTTGTGGAGATTTTTTTTCAGGAATAAAGTTTTATAATGTTTGTACAGATCGGGATGGACATCTCTTAAATGTTGTACAAGAGGAAAATTGTAAAGTCTTGTGCCTTTACGAGTTAGTTCAATTATTTCAGACAATATTTACAAGTGTATTTTTCGTTGTCGTTTTCGAAATAAAATGATATTTTCGACGTACTTCTTTTCTTTGTTTTTAACTTGGACATCAATATTGATTTTTTAGATATTATATTTTATTGTATTTATACACTCACAAACATGATTTTTATACATAATTATTGTTAAATACTCCTCTTTAAGAATTTTACACATTTTTACAATAAAAAACTTTTGCCAATTGTTGCGTTTTTTTACAAAATTAATAAAATTTTAAAATTGTTTTTTTTTCAAAACATGGTTATAATGTTATACCATAAAATTGTACAACAACACTAATTTTCAAAATCATTAAAATAAAACAATATTCAAAGAACTTTTATAGTTTTATTTGGTAAAAAGATTTCACCAAATAATTTACTAAAACATAAATTTTCAGTAAAATTATTTCACCATTTTACTTCATTCTCTGTTTGTAATTTGAAATTTAATTAATTAAATTTCAATTAATTAAATTTAATTAAATAACAAATTAATTAAAAAAGTGTTCAATTAAGCTTTTGATTTAAAGGCCAAATCAGCGATTTCTACATACTCTGATGTTTCAAACAGCACACATTCTCTTGGGATAGAATCGCTAAAACTGAAGTTGTTGATTTTTAACACACTTTTTGGTATCTTGATCATGTCAACACCGGTATACTTTCTAAAACAATTTGCTGCGATTTCTTTGACACCATCCGGCACTTCTCCAATTCTTTTGCCATTTTCTGTAGCAATTTTTAAATACTTTTCAATGTCATTTTGCACAAAAATAATTGTTTTTCATTGAAAAGAATTTCTTTCAAACACTTGAAAAGACTCGAGACAATGACATCCAGCAAAACATCCACTACTTTTTAAAACACACTTGGGACAAATAACGTTTTTGAGCTCGAAACAGTCATCAAAGATGGTATCACCAACACAACTCACATTCTTTGGTATCACTATTTCTGTCAAACCACATTTTCGAAATGCTGATCGACCAATCATTTTTAAATTTTCTGGTAATTCGATGGCTTTGAGTGAAAGACAATTTTGAAATGCATCTTCCCCAATTTGTGTCAACTTTGAGGGTAACACAATTCCACTCAAAAGACCTTGATTATCAAAACAACTGATACCAATACAACACACATTGTCAGGAAGAACAATTTGTGAAATGTATGACTCATAAAACAAATGTGATACACATATGTTGACATCCTCAACATATTTAAACATATCAATTTGGTCGAAAGTAACAACCAAATTTGAGCACTTGATGTTAAGTTGATTGAGTTTTGCTTTTTCCAACAAATCGACATATCCCGGGAATGAAGTTCGCCCACATAATTCAACACTTTTTAATTTGGTGCACTGGATAAAAATATCAAACCCAATTTGTGTTAAAGTGGTTGGAATTGTCACGTGTTGTAATTCTGAACCAAAAACGCGATTTCCCATTTCACGGAGGTTCCCCAAATCGATATTTTTAATATCACAAGACATAAAAAAGTGCCCACAAATTTTAGTGACATTTGAAGGAAGTCTAAGAGATGTTACTTTGTTTGTGTTGTTACAAGCCTCTCCAGTCAATTCGACTTGATATTTCAATTTTTCAATTTCAGATAATTTAGCAATGAAATCGTCTGTGTAATTTAAGTGGATCACATTTTGTAGTAGTGAATTTTGAATTGAATCTTCATTTTCGTCATGCATATTATTACACACCTGTTGCAAAGTGTATTGGTTATAAAACTTTTTAATAATGTTTTCTTCTTCCTTTGATACAACATTTCTTAATTTGCCATTCAATGTCGGTATTATTAGTTTGGTTAAAGAAACACAATTAGTAAATACATCAACTCCAATATAACACTGATCACTGAAAGTCAGTTCTTTAAGACTCTCACACCACCCAAAAGCATTGCTAGCAACAAAACACACGCTTTTTGGTATATTTAAAGTAACAAGGCTTTTACAATTATAAAATGCATAAGCTTTAATAGTTTTCAAATTAAATGGAAGAACAACTCGAGTCATACTTTCACATCCATCGAATGTAGAAGACTCAATTGTTTGCACATTTTGAGAAATCACAACTCCCTTCAATTTTTTGCAACTTTTAAAAACACGGTCCCCAATATAACGTATTGTGACTGGTATGGTGATGTTTACAAACCCACACGACTCAAAAGCAAATGATTCAATATGAATGACTGATGTAGGAAATACAATTGAAGTGAGTTGTTTGCATTTCGAAAAACAACAATTTGGAATGACACAAAGACCTTCACATAAAGTGACACTCTTGAGAAAATAACAATTTTGGAAAGCATAGGAATCCAACTCTGTAATATGTGTAGGTACTTCAAATTCTTCAAGATAAATGTCCGATGCAAACATTTCACCAAGTGTTTTGATTCTTGTATCTTTCAATACTTCAGGTAATAGATCGTCTGATGCAATAGAGTCTAAAACTAGATTCTTGTACGTGTAAGTATGGTATTGTGTATATTGTTTCATCTCAGAATAACACACCGGATACCAAACAACTATTTGCTTGACATCTTGGAATTCAACATCACAATTAAGATACAAGTGGAGTGTATCTATGTATGGAAAGAGTTTTTTGGACTGAATTGAAATTGGGTTATATCGAAATCTGTCAAGTATAAATCGATATTTTTTGCAGATAAGAACAGCATTCATAAAGTCTTCTTTATGGAAAAAATACTTAACAACTATTTAAAAACTGTAAACATCAAGATGTTGCATTTTTTGAATTTTGCATTAGTAGATATTGTTCGGTTTATAAACAGAAAGTTGGATGAATAAATTAATGATGACCAACTTAAAATGACTCGTCGTTTATATCAAAATTTAATTATTATTATATTAATAGAGTTATAGTTAAAATACTTTTTTTTTCTAAAAATTTAAAAATATTTAAGTTTGAGTTTAATCTAGATTCAAACAAAAACGTCAAAGATTTCATTTGTATCAATTTTTTATAGTTTAAAATCTATTAAATTATATATTTTCACATGTAATATTTTATGATACAGTTTACTATAGCACATACCATTCCAAAGTACTGCGAACTTGGAATCTATTGTGAGATCCAACAAAGAAAGTGTTCTAAAGATAGTGCAAATGGCTGAGCAATTTCTCACGGCATTTAGATTTGTTTTAAACCGAATTGGTTTTTATTCGCAGTGAAATGAGACAAATTTTAACATAATAACTCATTTTGTTATCATTTTTATGGTAATATTGAAAAAAGTCATTTTTGTGGAGTTTGTGGCAGAAAGATCCTGTGGTCATAGTGGATCAATGTAAACTATTGTGTATGGTTTATTATAGTTTATTAAATTATACAGGAATTAAGTGGAGTGTCTAGGCGGAGAGTGCCTACCATGATAGTCTGCTGCAAAGCCTTATTATAAATAGACGGCCCATATATAGCCTTCGTATTAAAAAAAGATTTACAAAGCAAAACTACAACATTATTAATACCGAAGTACTATATATCACTAGTAACTTATTAAGAAGTGTATAATAAAAACATCTGATGAATTTAGTTTTTATTTTTCATCGAAAATGAAAGGGATGTGTTACGACACAAAGTGTGTCACATTCGGGCTTATTAGGTGAGAATCCACAACGAAAAAATTGAGAGATACGACAGACAGAAGAGCACCAAAAAAGAAGTGAATTGAAAACTTGAAAGGATATGACTGAGTTGTTGTTTGTCCCCATCACACCCGACCACATTTCAGAGGCACAAGTTGTTTCTGTCAAACCGACTGTTGAAGAGGCGCTTGACCATGCAAAACGTGAAGGTGTACAGTCGTTGAAGTTCATGGCGCTTCTTGTTGGTGTCTTTCTTGGACATGCAGTCGTCGCCTATTTCTTGTACACCTATAACATCAGAGACTTTTGAGAGTCTCCACACTTTGTAAATTATCGTTGGTATGACTTATTATTATCCACCACGTGTCTTACTAAATATTAAACAATTAATTTTAACACAAAAAATAACCTCACCCAAAACTATTTGTAAGAGATTAATCATGTTAATTTATTAAGTTAGTAATTTATTAATTAAGTACTTAATAACTTAGTACAAGTGTTTTATTTGACTTTCAATAACTTTCCCAAACCAAATGTTATGAAAAACATTTGGTTTTGACCAAAATCGTCAAAAACCAACCCTCCAGATCTGAAAATTTTAGAATCAAGTAATTAAGACTTCCTGCTGCAGTATTGTTTAAGACAATTCTCGATTTTTTATTTCAGCTCTATGAGGTGCTACGATTTCTTTTTCGTTCACTCCTTATTCTTCTTATTACCAACTCACATCATTTAACTAGTATCTTTAGTAGAATAAAATTTAAAGAATATTGAAGTGACTCTAGACGGTTATTATCGTTTATAACGACAAGATTTACAAGACAAGACCACAAGATTTCAAATCGTGGGTTCAATTTGTTCTGTTAAACGTTCCACACAAGTACTTTGGGTTGGTCAAAACTCGTAATACTTGTGACAATAACAAAGTGAATAACATTTTCTAATCACTTTTTGACAAATATTTTTAAACAAATGTAAAAATCAAGAGTTGAGTGATGTTTACGTCATACATTTCATACTATCAATTTTAAATAAAATGTTAATAAATTATCTATCTGTTGTGTTCAATTTTAGTTTCCGAACTTGAAAACGGAAATAATATAGTTATTTATATAGAAAAAGAACCATAACAAGTGTTAAAAGTGCAATAACGAACTGGAAACCAGATCATGAACCCTTCCACCTTTTCCCAAACCTACGAGTGCACCTTTTCTCAAGTCGGAGGGGAATGGTGTTTCATCCCGTACAACACGATAATTGAACAAATCAAAAAGGAGGTTTCAAAGTACTCAACCCCGAAGCAGGCACAACTGAAGACGTCGTTTCAGGGCTTTTACCCAAAGCACCTTTCATCCCAGCCACTTGAGTTCCAGTTGCACATAGCTTACCAGATCCTTCGCAACAACGCGAATTTCAAGATCATCGCCATTTTGATCATCCTGAAAAACATCGACCGGATCAATGAGAGGCATTTGGAAGACATCGGGACGATTCTCGACAAATTTCAACTTGACCACGCGTTGGTCGAGTGCATAGCAACAAAGTTGTTGTACGAATTGATTGTGAAGAAGCCAGCTGTCTTTTTAGCGCCATTGATGAATTGGAGAAATAAGAATACACAATTTGGTCGGATGAGAGCGTGCTGCGCGACATTCACCAGACTAAAAAAAGAGAACAAAGGCGATCAGATCTGGGATGTGTGCGACGTCTGTGTTCGAAACCCTGAGAGGTTCGTGCAACTTGGCGTCGGGTGTTCGATGAAGGACTTGTGCTCTGTCGACGAAGAGAGGGTCATTGATTTCGTTCGAAAACACATTCAGTTCCTCTCGCGTGACGGGTTCAAGTATTCCATTGAAAAGATCAAAGACGCTTCGGTCAAGAAGGAGCTTCTCGGGCTCAGTCGTAATAAAGTCGACTTCGTTGGAGCAAGCGCAAAACAGTCCGAGGAAGAGTTCATATCAAGCTAACTGTATCTTTTTGTGGTTTGGAGTTTCCCTCAATGCATAGTTTACCTGTTTTTACAAGTGAACTATACGCTTTAGTATCTAAACTAACACCACACAACTTCCATATTTTTGTGGGGTGGTTTTTCCCTTTTTTTTACGCGTTCAACTATGCTTTCTTTCCGCCAAACTAATCTCTAATTCGATTCAACTATTAACAAACTATAAAATTTCATTCCAAACCCACAAAAATCATGTTCTCAAAAATCTGAAGACAAAACACTTGAACCGGGTGGTTTGAAAAAAGTAAATTAAATAATAATTGAAACTATTAGTGGAATGATTGAACTAGAACACAATTATAAAATAACTATATAAACCATCGAAAATAAAAAAAATGAGATTGACAACTTGATAACAGAGATGGAATTATACACCGAGACGCCGTACTTAGAATATTTTGACACGAACGCAAACATGACGTACGACGAGATGTTAGAGAAAGTGACACATTCGACGACACTGTATGTCGGGAATTTAGGGCCGAGTGTGACGGACAAAGAACTGAACTATTTATTTGGGGAATATGGAGATCTGACCCGGATTATCATGGGTGTGAACCATCGGAATGAGTACTGTGGGTTCTGTTTTGTTGAGTACAAAACGCGGGAAGATGCGGACTATGCGAAGCGGGCGCTTGATAAGACGCAAGTTGATGGGAAGTTTATTCGCGTTGATTGGGACTACGGATATAAAGAAGGAAGAGAGTTTGGAAGAGGAAAGGATGGGGAACAAAAGCAGTCGCAACGGCGGTTTGAACGAAGAAGGTTTGACGACTATCGAGACAGAGGCGAACGAAGGGATTGGGAGCGAAGAGAGCGAATGGATGATTATCGAGATGATCGAAATTATTTAAGAGATGATAAAGCGGAACGAAGAAGAACTAGAGATGACGATGAGGGATATTTACCCGCTCGAGGACCTCGAAGATTTAATTGATTTGATTTTTTAGATGGGTAGGAGTAATATCTTATTCAAATTTGTTCAGACGTCTTATCAAATTTGAATAAGAGTTGATATTGTAAAGAACAGACACTTACAAATTCTGGTGACTTAAGGCTAAGCCCTTCTTCAGTTTAAAGTAAGCAAGTGTGTTTCTCATATCTAATGCACTTTCTATGGTTTCTGACTTATTAAATAAGACAAACAGCTTTCTTTTCCAGTCTTGACTTTGGACTATTTGTTACTCTTCAATTAATTCCTCCAAATTGAAATGAAATTGAAACAACAAACAAAGCTTCACCTTACTAAATAGAACCCAATGATTCATAACAAAACCAATGATGTCCGTGTCAAACAGAAACAACTCTTGCGATGGGGTTATCGACCACACACCACGGAGGATAAGACAACAGAGCCGGTCTTTCTTGATTTTTGGTTTCCCAGTTATAAATAATGTCTTCTTCTTACATAACCAACACTTGCATGAAAAACATAGCTCCGAACTACTCCTGACTTCCATTTAAGTCAATGTATTATGTAGTGCATAAAAACGTTTGAGTTCATTCAACTCGAGTTGTTCTTATTATTGTGTGATGGTTGACCAAACTTCCTATTTGTGAAGAACTTTTTGAATGTTCGTGTGTTTCGTTATTTTTCTATTTTTACTGAGACCACAATCATAACATTCTAATAACATAAACAACTCAAATAAACACTAAATCCAACAATCATAAATTCAATTTGGCATGCGATTCACGACCAATCACTCCTTTTGTGTTGTCGTTGTTTCAGTCGTCTTTTCGCTCTGCACAAGCTTGTTTTTCACACAGTTTGTGTTTATTTTCTTGTCTGCAGAGAGACACTCAGACGTTGGTTTGGCATCTTTTTTCTCATGATCCTTTGTATCAACAGCCAAAACGGTTTCAGGCGTCTCGAGACGGGGTTCTTCTTCCATTGTATGGTGCACTTCCTCGTGTTTTGATGTTAGCAAAACGTTTGAAAGATTATTCGTTACTTTTGTCTCAGTACTTTCGACGATTGTCATTGGAACTTTGACAACTTTGTCGTGGTTTCCAGTTTTGGTTATGACATCCAAAAGATTAGGAAGTGCATCTTCTTCCATTACTTTAACTGGACTAATTTTGTGTGTTGAAACATCTTCGGTTTTTCCATCGCCTTTATCAGAGAACCAAACGTTTATGATATCGGGTAGTGTTGTTGTTGAAGGTGTGTCATCTGGTTTTCTCTTGAGGTGGGAACTCATGGCCATTACCTTGGCTGTTTCTTCGTCGTCCAAAAGTCTTTTGTTGGGAGACAGATTAGTTTGGGCCAAGTCTTCTGCGCCACTGACAATTTCACTCGGCAAAGCCGAACTCTGTGTGAACGATTGTGTTGGTATGGCTGATGTGTGAGTATCAAACACTTCTATGATCTGCTGGCAAATTGGGGCAGCCATTCCTCCCATCTTGTCCATCTGACTTTTCACAACTTCAACAATCCCGTTTTGAATAAATTTATTCGCGTACTCTTCCCACATAAACATCAAGTCTCTCACTTCACGCAAAACGACACTTCTTGATGCGTTATTTCCAATTCTGACACATTCAACAAATTTTGGTATTATTTGCGAATTGATAACATATTTCTTAATAGTGTCGTTGTTAATTTTCGACACTACAACAACAAAAGCAGCGAATTGGGCAAGATACTTCTCGTCGAAATTTGGTTTGAGTATTGGCTCAACAAGTATATTGAATACTTCTGGAATTAACGTACTCACAACAGCATTTTCAAATATTTGGATTCCTTCGTTCATAAACCCGACATTATACAACAGCTGGAAACCTCCCAACAAGTAACTTCCAGCTGAGTTCACAACACTTTTTGCAATTTCTTGGAGCATTTGTTCTCTTATAATTCTCATGCCAACCTGCACTCCACTTTCAAACAAGAGCGATATGCCGTCCAAACAATACGCCTTGTTTTTGTCAAGAAATCCTTTTTTAAATAATTCCAAAATCCCCCCTTCAATCAATAGACGCGCTTTCTCTTGCCGAATTGGTTGCGCAAACAAGGAAAGGTGCGAGCAAAATCTTTTTGCAGAAATACAAATTCCTTTTTTTTGTTTGTCGTTCGCGGTGTCGTACAACTCGACGAATTGTTTTATAACGTTTTCTTTCAGCGACGTGTCGAAAATAAGTCTGTGCAACGTCGCCAACTTTGTATTGAGTGGCATCGTGACAGGCTCATCTGCGAATCGGGCCACAACAACATCCCTGAAAAATGTCAAAGCGAACGCAGTTTCAATCAGCAAGCTCATTCTTTCAGATTTGACAAAGACTTCCTTCATCTTCCCGACATTCTTTTTGAACTCTATTAAAAAATCGATCGGTCCATTTTGTTGTATTGTTGCGTCGAACGAGAGTACCTTAAACAACACTTCCAAGTTTGGTAATGTGAAGAGTGCCTCCGATATTTTGTCGTCGTGTAAGTACAACAATGCCTTACAAAACACAAACAAGTCATCTTTTATCTCTCGAATTTTTCTCCTCAAATCTTCTTTTGTTCCACCACACCTCTCATCATTGCAATCTCGTTCCGTCAATCTTTCTTTTTCTTCCAATCTCTCGATTTGTTTCAGCACGATTGGAAACCCTCTCACAATTTCTTCCATCGAGATTTTGTCAAATAACTCAGAGTTGTCTCTTTTCGTCATGGCAGACAATACAGTTTCTTTCAGAAGACACATGTTATCAGACGTGAATTCTATCCATAAATTATACTGTACTATTGTTTATAATTTATAAAATTAAATATTCCATACAAGAAAATTAACTATAAATTATAATACAGTAAAAACAAACCAAGAGCATTTGAGTCGACGACTTTCTTGACGCCCAATATATCAAGAGAGTCGCAAAAAGACTGACAGAGGTCGGAATTCAAAAACGAAAGGGCGTATTCCTCGCTGAGGTTTATGCCTTGAATCTGGACGATTTTGTCGTTTTGTTTTTCGTAGGCATCTCCCCTTTTCATAGACGAGTCCATAATAACACCGTTTTCGTTCCGGATTGTAAAAGTCAACACCTCTTTTTTGAGTGAAAAAGTGAACGCCCCGGTTCCTGTGACGGTCCATTCGTTTTGCCTCAAAGCAAAAACTTTGACCAACTGTTTCTTGTGCTCCTCTTCTTCCATATCTTTTTGAGTTGTCATTTTTCTTTTTTTGTTATTCAAAATTTGAGGGATTTAAAAGAAATACTATATGAATACTATTTTAAATCATTGAGCGTGGTTTCTCATTTTGTGGATAAAATGAGAGAAAGAGATTATAAAGGCGGAAAGAAAACATTGTTAAGCGCGCAAGTTCATTCATAAAAAATGCTTATAGATGGAAGAAATGGGTGGTTACAACAACCAAACTCAAGCAGAGTATTGTTACACTGTTTCATATACTTCTATTCATGAAATTGACTTAATAAGCCACAATTATCACAAACTGGTGTAAAAAAAAGGTGCACGAAAAGAGAAAACAAAATTCATGAATTAAAGTGTCCCAAGAGGAAGTCTCAGAATAATGTGAACGCCAGAATCAGTCTCAACGATGTCACTAACCTCTCCAATCTGAAGTTTAAGATAAGCGTCAGAAAACGGTTTCTGGAATTGGTCTGTCTTTCCATTGAGAAGGCCGCCATTTGTGCTGCTCCCACAGTCGGACTCGATCATTGCAGTCTTTCTGAAATCTTTTTGGCCACTAGTTATTTGCTCTCTCAAGACTGCGAGTTAGTCGTTTTGGGGGGGTTGCACGTCAAAACAAACTTTTCAGTTTTTTCATTGCCTCATCTTTTGTTCGTGTGATATTCTTTTCTCTCCAAGAGTGTGGATTACGCGATCCGCTATTTGTTATTTCTTTGAGTTGTTTGTATATAAGTGCAAACGTGTGTTTGACGAGGATATGTGCGCAGCAAAGATCTGTCATATTAAAAATGAGTTTGTTCATTGTTTCAAAAAAACAAAAAAATTATAAAAACATTTTTTGGTTGATCAAAAAATTTGTTTTGTTTTTATTAAAATGGGAGTTAAAATTTTTTGGGGTTTTTCCCATAATTCCCAGTTATTATCGACGTATATGATTCGCAAACCCAATTGTTTTGTGTGGGTATTATTTCAACAATTTGAATGAAAAAACTCGCCAGAGAACTCGAAATTCATGGGCTCTTTATTTCAAGGCAAAGTTTTGTTGCATTATTCAGACAATTCGAATGATATTGTTGACGAAGGGGAGTTAGAGATAATGCGCACACGTGCTGTCTCGACCAAGTACTCCAATGTTTCATTCACTTCACCCATCGTTGAAATTCCCGTTGGGCGAACACTTGGGAAGTATTTTGTTCAATACCTCCGTGACGAGCAAGTCAAATTCAGTTGGTACACTCGCAACAAACAAGTCGACCTCTTTTTGGAGTTTCTGAAATTTGGTTTAACCCTTAAGGAAGCCCTTTCCTACACGCAGGTGACCTCCGAAGTCTTTTCATCTGTCTGTGGGATGAATCTTCAATTAGTATTAGACGCGGACAAAGACAAACAGTGTGAGGACAATGTTCTTCCTGCTGTCAGCAAACAAGATGGGTTAAAGGTTGCACAGTACTACTTCAATGAAACTGACTTTTTGAATGCATTTTTATCTGGTGGACTTACTGAGGCGAAGTTGGATAAACGAAAGACACTTGGAGTGTCACCGACGCACTCTGGAAAGCAATTTGTGAATAGAAATACGGCGACTGCTGTTGGTGAGATTGTGAAGAATGGGAAGACCCCCCTTGGTCTTAAAATGTTGAATTTCTTTCAAGAGTACACCAACCTTTCGGAAGATTTGTTTGAGAAGAATGTCCAGATGCTTGCGAACAAATGGAAGAGTGAAGGGAATAAAGAGTTGTATGAGTTGTGCATGAAGTATTGTGGAGCATCGCAACAAGAACAACGTCCCGCAATTACAATAGCCGGCGAAAGTGTGACCCACGCCGTCTCTCCTCTTGCTCGTCCGACCTTCAAAACGTGTTCACCTGAGAAAAAAGAAGAAAATGTCCAATCAAACATCGTCTTAGGCACAAACAAAAGCGCTGCGCTTAATATTCAAAACACACAACAAAGTGTTTCCCCAAGTGCCCCGATTTCACAAATCACATTTCAAAATCCAATTCAAGGAATCGACTTGGAGTTACTCAAAAAGTGGACGGGGATGAGGAACTTGAGAGTCTTATATGACAAGAGTATGCCAGAAGTTGATATCTTACAATTTAATACTGCTATCTGTGGGAAAAAGAATATGATGGTTATAGTCAACGCAGAGGATGGCTCTGTATTTGGGTCGTATTCGTCAATAGAAGTGCCACCCCCAGTAAATTGGATTAAGAAAGACTCGGGGCATTTCTTATTTACTCTTGTGAACCACAAAAACATCGAGCCAACCCGATTCTATCCACTGAAGCTTGGAAACTCGGTGTATATCTTCCAAAACGACTATATGATATCAGTATTGGCAGTACAAGGCGCTTTCAAAATTAACATCAGAACTGAATCGACTTTCGCTTCAAAATTCCCAGTCTTCTACAACGACACGACAAAACTCGGAAATGCTCTGTTTGTTGATACACCAGATAAATTCGCGATTAAGTCGTTACTCGTGTTGGAGTTCTTTTAATTTATCGTTTTTAAAGTGTTTTCTCATCACTCAAAGGAAGTCAACGAAAGCGATCACTAATCAATCAATAAGGATATCGTCAAGGTCGTGAATGACCTTTAACCCAATTGTCTGGGCTTGCTACTTATCATTTCTTGTTATTATTATAATAAAATTATAATATAATAATAATTATAGTATAATAATTATAGTATAATATAATTATATTTATTATTTATATTATAATAATATTATACTAAAATACAAACCATCACCATGTCATACAACACATTCACTTTGAATGACCCAACTCCACCTTTCTGTATCCCACAAACAAGTCCACTTTCAGTCACTGCGGTAGTTAAGACACCACCAGAACACATTTCTTCTGTGTGTGAAGGATCTACTACATAAACTTCATCGAGCTATTTGGTTAGTATTTTGATTCTATCATATATATAGTAAATTGTAACTACATGTATACTAGAACTATAGTATAAGAGATTAATAGTAAAATATCTCGAACAAACTAATACTAAAGACACGCATACAGGAAGAGCGGATGGCTCGAAGTGAATGAATTGAACGTTGTCCTTATTAATATCGATTTGAACTTCCTCGGCATCGCCCGATATCACGGTGACGACAGGAATTAAAGTTGAGAGGAGTGCGGCTCGAACGGCAAGGGAAACGCAATCCATCACATTACCGTCATCTTCTACGACGATTGCATCGACGTAGACGACCCAACACAATTTGCCTGGAGAGACACAAAGTTTCTTTAACATCTCTTTACCGGCGTTTTCTAAGGAAACGGTTATCATTTGCTCGATGGAAACATCACGAACATTGTCTGCACCAGACTTTCTCACTAAAACAGTATATCGCCCTTCATTACTGGACGTAGCTTGGGGTTCTTCTAACTCACATTTAATGCCAACTACAACTTCGGTACGTCCTAAGAAAAATCGGACGGATCCATTCGCTTGATCTATAACGTCGCGCTCACATCGAAACTCACGAAATTGTAGTACACTCCGTCCATCCGTTCGGACATTCACAGAAACTCCTTCTTTGATAAATTCAACTTCACTTGTACTCAGAGCGTACATCTATTTATTAGTTGAATGCTTTTCACATAGATTTAAAGGGTTTTTGAAGTTTGATTCTGGGTTCTTGTACTATTTCTGTATAATTTGATATAATATATTTTATAATACATTTTTATTCTTTTTAGATATAATTGTTTTTTTGCTATTATTTTTGTATTTAAAATGGTTTATTATTATAATTACATTTTAGTTTATATATAGTTATTAATTGAATAAAAAAATAATTATATTTTTCTATTAAATAATAATTTGTAAAAAATGAAATAAACCTTCTATATTAAAATATAATCTATAAAAAAATATCAGTAATTCATATTTTAAAAAACATAAACAACAAACTAATAAAGATAATTAATTTTGTTTATTAAAAGAAGCATCGAAGGATCAGTTTTAGATTATTATAACAAATAACAAAAAAATTTGTAATTCCACTCAAAAACTATAAAGATATAAAACAATTATTATTAAAACCGAAGTAAAACAAACTATATAATTATTGCCAAAGTTTGACTCAAAGTAATCAACTGTTATTTATTAAACTATAATTTATACTAATAATACAAGAATTATTGTTACTTAACAATAGAACAACAAACCATTTTATAACCAGAACATTTGAGGTAAAAAGTCGAAAGGAGAGACAAAAAATCAAAGTAACTAACTTCATCGCACGAACTCAATAACAAAACGATGTCCGACTCTCTCGATCTTTTAGAACAAAACTATCAAGACGGAGTTTCTGCTCTTAATTCTCAAGACGTTTTAGCCACATTATCACAAGACATGTCGTTTGACCGATTGTTACACATCGCATGTCGCAACAAGTGTGTTCCTTCAATACTCATATAGTATAATATATAGTATATATATACTAATTTTATTCTATATATCTTTTATAGTAGAATATAGTATACTACAACTAATAAATACTCACCCCCAGCTGGAAAGAAGTAGTTGAGTGTCTTTTAAATTACGCGCCTGAGAAATTGACTGTTTGTGACAATCGTGGATACACTCCTCTGATGACTGCGATCAAAAGTAAAAGTGTTTCTGTCATCATCTTACTTCTTTCTGTTGGGGACTGCCGAGTCGACCTCTGCGACAATTACAAAAACAACATCTTACACATCATGGCGGAGAGTCCTATGGACGATTTGATGTTGTTAGTAGCTCGGCGAGTTGTTGATGAATATCCGCTCTTTGTGAATCGGAAGAATGTAGTCGGGGAGACGCCCTTTCATAAGTCTTTAGAGGCGGGGAACATCAATTTTTCTCATTTTTTAATGAGTCATGGCGCTTCATTAGATGAGACGACTTTGAATGGGAAGACGATAAGAGAGTACGCCCTCTTTGCTCGCAACAATGCGCAATTAACGTTGAAATTTGTGGACAATTTATATAAAGAGGAGAAGACGAAGTTAGACTCCCTCAAGAAGACTTTAAGTCGAGACATCTCTCCTCTTGCCGACACTGAAGTTCCTCAATTTCAAAAGAAAGTTGTTGTTGACAGTTGTGATGAGAGAATTACAGAGACAAGTGACACAAACGCGGAAGACGGAAGCACTTTTGAAGCGAAAGAATCGACTTCGGACGACTCTGATCAAGCCGTTGTCTTAGATGTGTTAACGAAGTCGGGAAGAGTAAGTCAGAACACATCCACCCCTGTGAAACAAGTCGTTTTGAAGCGAAAAGAGACGCCGAAGACTCGAACGCGTGTGGATGAGTTCAAAGAGTATCTCCGTCACTTAGAGATCAACACGAAGATTAGTGAAGGCATCGACTCCTTCAATCGAAAGAAGAAATTCCGCATCATTTCGATCGATGGCGGAGGAATTAAATGTATCATGCAAGCTATTATCATCGGAAGACTTATGGATAAGTACCCAACACTCTTAGATTCAGTCAACTTGTACTGCGGCGTCTCCGCTGCAAGTTTCACTGCAACATATTTCGCAATGGGATATCATCCTAAAGACGTCGCGAAACTCATGAGCGTCATGTTCAAACATGTCTTTGAAAAGAAGTCGCGCGGCTTCATGGAAGCACTCTATTCAAACAAATTTCTCATCGAGGCGGCTACAGCGTCGTTCGGCGAGTTGAAATTGTCCGATTTGAAGCGACACGTTTTGGTCAACGCTTTCCAATTCGACACGGGAGAAAACGACCCAAATCGCTGTTGCAAAGCGTGTTTCTTCAACAACTTTATCCCAGGATATGACTGCAAAATAGCAGACGCTTGTTTGAGGTCTTCAGCGGCGGTTGGCTACTTCCCGCCTTATAACGGATTTGCTGATGGCGGAATATTCGAAAACAACCCAATCACTTGTGCATTCCCACTCATATTCGGAGAGAGAGGTCTTGGAATGGACGTCAAGAACACCGTTTGCCTGTCAATCTCGTCCGGAAGAGCTCCAAACAATTTCATTGATAGTAAAAAATACACGGATGTCGGGATGGTCCAACTCTTGCCGTTGTGCGTCGATGGGTTCTTGTGGAGTCGAGTTTGTTGTATTCATATTAACACTTGGAAGTTCATATAGTTTGGAATATAGTACTTTATTATTTTTATAGAGTTTACAGAAGAGCAATAGATAAAGGTTAAGTGCAAAGCAAAAACTGAGGAATAGAAGTCAATGGCCGATGAAGTGGGGAAAGGATTCTTAGGAGAAAAATACATGCGCTTTGACCCAGTACTTCCAGAACAATATGACTTGGACTGCGCGGACCACATCGACCGCCTTATTGAGTTGGCAAATAACATCGACATATCGGAAGTCGAGGATTGGGTTCTTAAGTATTGGTTCTAATTGTTATTTTGTGGTTTTCGTTTGTTTTTTGGACACATCATTTGTTTTTATTTAGTTATGTTGCTCTATTATGAGTGTATGGATACACAACTTATAAGAATCAATCATTAAGTTTTGCTTTCACGAACTGGTCAATGACATATGAAGGGACTGAACCTGCAGTCTCTGCTGCGAGGATGTCAACCTCTCTCTTAAATTCAGTTTGGCCGTGTGACCACGCATACTCCAAAAAGATCATCAGAGTCCTGTAAAGATAGTTTTCACTTGCTGTAGTGTAGAATAACAATACAATAAATACAACATCAAATTGATGCAGTTTCGAAGCTGTTTGGAGCAACTCCTCGATGGAAACAACTTTCCGACAGACGGAGTTCATTATGCTCAATATTTTGTATGCCTTTGAGATTTCTTGTTGCAACCTTGTTGAACATCCCATCCCAATACCAACACCTTCATTGATTAGTCTTAGACGTGTTGTGATGTCGCTAGGTTTTTTCATGACCACATTGTCAACATTTATTTCTTGTTTGTAAATATCTTCGACAGTGAGCTTCAGTAAACACAAAACACCCTCATCTGTGCGTCCCCTGGTGATGTACCATCGCCACAAAAGCTCTGGGCACTTCTCTTCAATATACGATTTTGCGAACTGGAGGGGTGATGAAAGAATTAAGGATATTTCATTTTTTTCAACCATCACATCATACACAACTCGAAGCGCATCTTCGTTTCCACTCTGACTGACTGTGTCGACACAATTCATTCTGATGTTGTAAAGGTTGTCGTCGCTGAGTGTGTTTTTCCTCAAGCTGTCCTTCATGTTGTTGAGCGGGACAAAGACGTTTCTCATAACTCTTCTCAAACTCTCCAATTTGCTCTCACTCTCTTTTTCGCCCTTTTTCATCCACTTCATAAGAAGAGCAACATATATGTCAGACATCCCATTCGTAACCAAGTCCTCTTCTATTGGCTCAACATCAATCTCTGCAGCAGTAACTGCACTAAATATTTCCCCCCCATACACCGTTCGGTCACTTTCAACATCAGCCTCCGACTTTCCCATCATAAATACAGCCCTTTCAACTTTAAGCTTTGCTTCCATTGCTTTGTCAAAAAACCCACATTTTTTGTCTTTCAATACTCCAGTCAGACATTCGCATCCCTGCTCGTTCACAATTTTCTCCACCAATTTATCATAAATAACTTTTTGATAAACATCTTTCTTTCCAGTTCGGATATATTCCTCCACACTCATTGTATTCTGCCTCTTATACAGTGGTCCAACAGTTTTCATCGCCTTGACCAAGTCCAAACAGATTGAAGCAACTTCGTTAATTCCAACCTTTTGGATGTCTTGCGAATCCTCTGTGTAGTCTTTGATACACTCCAGAATATGTTCGTCATCTCCAAAGTACTCACCATAAATGTCCAATTTCCAAATTCTTTTTACAACCCTAAAGAGTAACTCAAACAACCCATCTATTGTACTACACTCATTTCTCACACACTCAACAGCGTCTACAATACTTCTATTCTTGGAGGTCAACGCAGCGTAAGCAAAACACGCTTCTCCGACGTTTCCAAATGTGTTAATATACTCTTCAAACACATCTTTCAGTGTTTGAATTGCCAAGCACTCAGCCTCTTCAATTAGTGTAGCACACCCTTTCACCGTGATTATCCACCTCTTTGGGAGATTTGGAGTTGTGCCTTCACTTACTGTGGAAGGTACGTCTGTCTCTACCTTCGAATTTCTCCCCTCAAATGTTTCGTCCGTTCCGTCGGAACAATCTTCAATCAAAAATGAGATGTCTTCGAGTGGATATGCGAGATTGGATTTTTGCGGAACGGCCCTAGTGGCTTTGACGGCAATGCCCCCTACAAGGAACATGTCATCATTTCGTATCAGGGACATATCCTCCGACTCGATGAATAAATAGACTCGATCCACCGTTCCTATTAATATGGAATTAAGATTAATAGAAGCGCAAATTATAGTTTCTTCGATCATCGTATTTTTCAGAAAAGCAATTTTCGTTCCGGTGACGTAGCCAATAAATTTGTATGAAAAAACGATGATCGAACTGAAAACGTTTGAAACCGCTGAACTCAGTGGCAAAATCGCTTGAACTGACAAATCATCCTTCCCACTTTTCGAGATGAGATCGCTAATGGCGGAATAGACACCCTGAATCGAATATAAAAAGGCGAAAGAAATAGTGGAGTAGACGTCAAGTGATGTTGTCGACAACGCATAAAAAATATGCCTCTCGGTGTCGATGAACAATTTGATGTATTCTGTCTTGTGGAAAAATTTCGTGATGAACGACAAAGGACCTTGTGAAATGCACTTTACTGAATTGGTCGAAGACTGCAAACAAAAAATCTGTTTTTCATGAATGAAGAACTTGTTATCGCCATCCACGAGACTTGTTGTAGGGATTGCAGAAGGGTAGGTTTCGACGGATACATCTGTGAATATTTCAAAAATGCCAGCACTGCGCTGACGAATTAAATCGAATAAACCATAATCACTAATTGTCACTTTTGTGATAAAGTAATAATTTTAAAAGTTTTGTTTTTGAATGGATAAAAAGTCAAACCGATTGAGACGAGCACTGACAAGATCAGCGACGTGGCGCTTTGCAGTTTCGCGCATTTGACGTTGGAGGTCGTCGACTTTATCCTTGTCTGTTTTTGTAGAGACAAGTTCGTTTGCGAGAAGAGTTCTGATGTGTTCGAATGTCAGAGTTTCTCGAGTTGGAATGGCCATGTTCCCAGTCTGTGGTATTTTCAACATTTTGTTTTTTGAAGATTTTTTATCTTTTTTGCTTTTTCAAATATTTTATTTGTTTTTTTTTTGTTATTGATGGTAGGGTTTTTTGTTTTTTTATTTCCAATTTTTTGGTGTTTTATTCAAAAAAAAAATAATTATACGTTTTATTATATTTTTACGATTTTCGCTTTATTGTTTTTTATTATTATAATAATATCACTTTAACTATTAATAATAATAAATTTTAAAAAGAGTGTAAAATTTATAAATTAAACTTATTTTATTCAAGAAAAATATTCAGCTCTAATAAAAAAATGAAATTTAAAATAAAAAATATACCCGTCACAAAGTGTTGAAGTTCCCAACACAAAGTTCGAATAAAATGAAAAAAAAGTTAAAAAAAATAACAAAAAATAGGTTTGTTAATTAAAATAAAGTTTAAATGGTTGTTTATTAAATAATAATTATTATAACTATAAAAATATTAAATGTATTATTGTTGTTTTTATTTCTATTTTTATTCCAAAATAAATTTCTCTTTTTAAAAAACTCAAACTCATTATTAGTATTAGAAATATTTACTATTGATTATAATAGTGTTATAAATAGTTTTACATTAGTATCATTAAACTACTTACAAGAGTTGCTTCTAACAATTGCACCTCTGAACAAGAGAACAGTAAGAAACACTCATATAATCAGTCAAAATGGTTGAAGTGCATCTCTCTTTTGAATTGGTTCGAGTTGTACCTATTTTGGTTGTCCATATTTACTTTAAGTTGAAGCAAAGCGTCTTCGACGATGTAATCATTGTTATGTAAAAATTGGAGAGCTTCTGTTCGATCGAACTTGACGTATGGGGGGGTCATTCGTTCTGCTGTTGTCATATACGTGTTGAGTGCTTCTTTAGATATTGCGTCGCACCTGAACATCATAATCCCAGCAGCCTCCGCGGTATCTGCTCGCGACACTCCATCGACAGTCGCTTTATTGACGCATCTCCCAAACGTTGGTCTTGGGCCTGCAAAGTATTTTTCCGTTGGGATGACGGCCTGGTATTCCGGGCCCACACGTGTTTGATGCTTTGCCATCATAACTACTTGTTCTTTATATTATTAGTTATTAGTTATTAATTAAAAAATATATTATTTTGTATAGTATATATTATTCTTATATTAAATAATTAAATAATTAAATAATTAATTATTTAATTAATTAATTAATTGGTTGTTTTTCTATAATATCTTCATATAAAATGAATTAAAGCCAAATCTATCTACAACTATTAACAGCTTAGAACAAGAAACTATATTTATTAATAAAAGTATTATATTTTTTTAATTTAAATTGTTCCCAGATGATTTTGAACTAGAATTAAAAAATCATATTTTTAGAACAATGGAGACATACCGATTGATTGTGGGGATGTTACTAGTAGTTTTTGTCACTGCGGGGACAACAAGTCTGACAGACATGCGACTTCACTTAGACAAGAAGTACGAGCGGTTACAAGAGATAGAGGAACGATCCATTGATGCGAATATTAAGTCCGCGAAACTCAGTTTATCGCAAGGAGAGTCTTCTTTGAAGAAATTGACTGAGAAACAAAAATCACTCAACGCACTTGTGCAGAATGCGACGAATGCGTTGATCGCAATTGACCAAAACATCACATCGAATGCCGCCGCCATCTCGACGCTCGAAGTTAAACTTGAAGCTGCGAAGAAGGAGAAGTCGCCTGAGACGAAAACGATTGCACAAGATATCGAACGAACAAAACGTGTTTGGAACGACGCGAAATTGCGACACAAAGAAGTTGAAACGACAATAAGTGGACTTCACCAAAGACTTCAGCGCATCTCTTTTAAGATGTCCCAACGAATGAACTTTGAGAAAGACATGACAAATGCGATTAAAATATTTGAAGGGCAAAAGACTGAGTTAGTTGATCGATTGAAAGAGGAGCGCAACGATGAGGAACGGCACAGAACGATTTATTTGACTGCTTTGGAGACGAACAAGAAGTTGAATGCTGAAGCGAAGAAGATTGAGAACGCTCTTGGGGAGATGACAGGGAGTGCGAGAAGTCAAGCGCACCAACGACTGATAGCGATCAAGTCGATGCGAGAGAACGACCGCAAAATCATTCGATTACAGAAGAGGTACATTAGCATCATAGAAGAGAAAGGGAAGAGTATTAAAGCTGCAGTGAAGCGAATGATGAAAGAGGGGAATGACCATAAAGAAACGATTAAGAGTGCTAATAGGAAGATAGAAGAGCTGAAGAAGAGCATAGAAGAGTGGAAGAAGATGAAGAACGAGAAGCGTGTGAATGAATTGAAGAATAGTATTGAAGAGGTCAAATACACGATATCAGTTGAGAACGACCGATTTGAGAAAGTTGTCGACGAGTTTGTGACGGGGAATTTGTATGCGAGAATTCATGCGGTGCATCGGGAAATTAAAGAGCTGAGGACGGAGAAGAAGATTGTGAAAATGTTTTTGAAGGGGATGAAAGGGAAGCGATGTGCTGTGGATCAGAAAGCGATTCAAAGCATTAGAAAGGCGATGGTCAAGGAACAAAAGAAGTTAGAAGAACGCGTGAAGAATGCGAAGAGTCGCATTGAAGCGATTCAAATGCGAATTACCACGTTGAAGCGACAGAAGAGGGAGATGCGTGAAACGTTACGGAAAGTGTCACTGCGCCGCCTGAATGAACTTCGCAAAGCGACGAAACTCGAGAAGAAGAATGTTGGAGAGATTAAAAAGGAATTGAAAAACCTTTTCAATCAAAATAAAGAAGGGAAGGTCCAAGCGGAGGTTGAACGAATGAAAGGGAAGTTAGTACGAGCGACGACAAGATATCACAATTTGAGAGAAATTCGAGACGAGGCGGACAGAGACGTCAAACAACTCCGCGTCGAAGAGATCAACGAGAAGAAGGTGAAACTTTCTACACTCAAACATTTGATCCGAGAACTCAATTTTAGACGGAAACAGACGAATCGAAAGGAACAAAAGAATCTCGCGTTAATGGCTTTGGAACACAACGACTGCTTTAAACGAAGGAAGTTGTGGAAACAAGTCAGAGCCGCACAGGAGGAGCGGAAAGAAGTGAGCGAGCGACTTGATCGTGTGTCGAAGAAGTATATAAAATTAGCTCGGAAGATTCGAAATGACGAGAAAAAGGTGGTGGAAGAGCTTAAACAACGAAATCAAGCACTTGTAGCGAAGAAAGAAGCGTTAGAGAGAGGAATAGCTAAGATCAAAGAGAACTTGAAGAAAGAGAACAATGAAAAGAAGTATAGAGATTCATTAGAACAGATCACATTCATTACAGACGAGATGAAAGAAGTCGACGAGGAGTTGGTGAGTGTCAGGAACGAGATGCGCCGCAGTAAAGCAAGTCTGATTCTAGAGAAGTACGTCAAGAAGTTTGAGGAGAAGAAATACGCAACGACACAAGTGAAAGAACTGATAAGAAAGCTGAGAAGACATGTCAGTAAAGCGACAAACAAAATCATTCAATTGGAATCAATTTATGAGCAGACGGTCTACGACAAACGCGACGAAATCAAATTGAAGCTTGACGCGTTGAAGAGTGTCAAGGCGGAGAAGGAAAAGAAGTTGCGAGAAGCTGAGAAACGGTATGAGAAGGTATCTGGTCTTGAGGCGAAAGAAGCACAGAAGGTTGTTGGGTATTTGAAAGCGATGATCGACGAGAGCGAGACCGTCCAAAAGGAGTTTTCTAAATTAGCGAATAAGCGCACGACGGAGTACAAGACACACTACGAGAGACTTGCACAAATGTGTATGAAAGATGCTGTAGAGATGAAACGAAGACTTGGGAAGTACACGGAGAAGGTCGAACGATTCCAAAAGAAGATGATTGCATTTGAAAGCGAAAAAACGCCATGTAAAGTCTGTGTTGAACTGGGAAGAAGAGCAAAGGAGAGCTTGGCTATGACACTGGACAATAACATGTTACTGAAAAATGTCCAAGAACGGTGCAAGTTCTTCCCCGAGAACGAAAGACCAACATGTTACTCAACTGCTTTTAAGGTCGCAAAGTATGCTGCTAATTTGTTTGACCCAGAGGAACTCAAAGTGAAACAAATGTGCGTTGTGTTGAAGAAATGTAGTGCGGTCTAACACATTGTTAGTTCTTCTTTCATTTTCTTGTTGATTGATTTAAGACTGTTAGCTTCTCTCTAAAACTTATGAATATAGAACTATATAGAACTACAGTAAAAAGTGTCTTTTTGTGGGTTTTTATATTTGTGGGTTACGTCTATTTGTGGGTCAATTGACCAATCAAATGCAAAACCCACCAATATTTATTTTGTTCTCGAATTTTGAATTTAAGTCCACTTAGATAAATAATATAGTTTTTTATAATTAAAAAAAACTACTATATTTTCTATAACACCGATTTTTAATGGAAAAATTGGTGAATAGAATTTACTTCACAATTCCATGATAAACCCACAAATAAATATTTTTTTTCTGTTTAAAAACCCACAAATAGACACTTTTTACTGTATATAGAATTATATTAAACTATAATAAACTATAATAAACTATAAAGAAAAGAACACACCAAATTAGAGTACCAAGGAATCGACCAAATTAAACAACTCATCCGACTCTAAACACTTCACATGAGCATATTTACCAAGGTATGTCACTTTCTTTGTCATCAGAGAACACCCCTCAAGAGAGTGTTTATTGACTAATTTGTCTCCATCAGAATATATGACAGTACTAGCTGAATCAGTGTTGTCTCCTTCATACACGATTTTGTCTGGAGTCTCTGAACCAAGGGAATAAGCGCAATAGGTGTCGACACCGAAAGGAATAGTCCAGTTGTATTTTTCGAAGAAAGGTTTAATAGAATTATCAAGGATATAACGAGCCTTATCCTTCATCAGAGGATCCGTCTCAAATAAGTCTGCAAGGTCTTTAGCATAATACTCCTTTCCATTTCCTTTGAAAGTGACGATTGGCTCTTGTGGCCAATGCTCTGGGTTTGGCGACAAACTTAAAACACTCTGAATAGTCCTCGAGAGATCTTTTGATAACTGTTCGTCGATGGGAAGGCCTATGTTCTCACCAAGTAATACTTCTTTCACACTTAACGCACTTCCATAGACGGGCGCGGACACCATCAAGAATTTATCGATGTATTGCGTGGTAAAGTCTTCACCAAAGTAGTCGAGAGCCTTATACATGACATACATTCCCATTGAGTGTGTCACTATAACCGCCTTCTTCCCCGTATTCTTGTTTCCTTCGATAATTCTATTTTTAAAAGTTTCATAGAAGGTGCTTGGAAGGTCATTACTTCTCCAATCGTATGGCATGCCATATAAATCAAACTTCTGCTTATACCCCTTCTTCTCTAAATGACTGATCAATTTGTTGAACATGTGAGTAAATCGCTTTGCGAGAATAACAGGAGCCATCGTGTCGATGGCATACGTGTCACCATCATCTTTGGGAATGATCGACTCGATACCAGGAATGTTCTCCATTTTGTTTGTGACGTTATTCCAGACACCATGGAGGTAATTGTAATAACATTCGTCTTTGGAAGGCAGAGACCCTTTTAAGTTCAGCCACGCACGAAATTGGGACTTGGTACGGTCACACTTGGATGGCCATGGAGAGTAACTCGGGGAAACATTCACTTTCATTTCAATGATACTCGACATTAAACCAGGAACTAAGTAGACCGGGCTTCGAGTCGCTTGGGCTATGAATGAGATCAACAAGAGAAACACCAACATTATAATTTATGAATTCTTAATGAAGTAACTTTTTATGAAAAGAATAGAATGTCCATTAATTGAACATGAAATCTTGTTCAATCTATTTGTGGTTTGTATCTATTAATTATAATAAAGTTTATTATATTATACCATTTTATTAATGCTATACATGCTATAATATGCTATACCTTTTGGGAGTCTTTCATGTTACTACAAATTGTAGTAACATTGTTATAAACAATTAATAAATCAAAAGGTACAAATATTGGATATGTTGTAAAAAATTGTAATGTTTTTGAAATGTATTTGTTTAAAATGGTTTAATTATCAATATAATTTGATTGATTATTCATTATAAGTGGTTACATTTCAGACCATATTAAAACTGTTAATTAATTAATTATAGTCAGTTTAAAAAAGTTGACTGGCCATTTTTTAACAATCAAAATTGGAATATTTAGGGAAACGGTTCGAAACATTTCAAAAACACTGTTTCATAATTTTTACTGGAATTTCAACGTTTTTTCCTAATTCCCAATTTTTTCAACTTATTTTGTGTAAAATTATATAAAATGGACAACGTTTTTAGACAGACTTTAATACGTTCATGTTCCATTTATTTTTTGTTTTATAAAAAATCTTTGTTGTTAAATTTTTTTAATTTTGCTTTTTTTATTTTTGAAAAAAATAGCTGGAACAACTGTTTTCATTTCTAACAACATTTTTTTGTAACGATCTTTGTAAAATAACAATGAGACATTACAACAAAAACAACTAATATTTTTGAATTAATTCATTTCTTCATTTTTTTGAGATACAAAAGTACTTTGTGAATTAACCCATTTTTAAGTCGTCTTTAAAGGTGCGCGTAAACCAATTTCGTTCACGCGCACCTTTCACCTACACACATCGCAAAAGAATAAAATGTGTTCCGCGACAATGCCTTTTGGAGGCATAACACTATCTCTATCGGACAATACATTTAATATTTTTTTAATCTTCATTAAACTCGGTCGCGTAAACGTGCACATAAATTACACAGATCCACAAGTCAAAAATTATGTAGATTATAGATTTGAACACAATAGTGTGACAATCGACGACCTTACATTCATTGTTTTAAAATAATTTTTGTGTTTTTACTTTAATTAATAATTTCAAGACGAATATTGATTTTTAAAAATATTATTCAAAATCAATATATATTCAATATATATAAAAGCGATTTTGGCCGGGTTGCCTGCCCTAACCGTAACATCTATTTTTGGTTTTCAATATAGTTAAATAGAAATAAAAACAACTATTTTATAGTTAATTTGTAACCGTTTTCAATTGTCAGGGTAGTAGTATATAAATTATGTGGATTTAGGGGCACCTTCATTTTTAAACAATATTTTATAATATTTTAACTAAACGCAAAGCTTTAGTGAAACTGAGCAAAGCACCCGCATGAATTTAATTATAGATCAATATTTATAGTAAATTTATAGTAATGTAGTAATCTAAGTTTTATAGTAAATTTATATTAATGTAATTTTTATCTTCCTTAAAATGACGGAACAGTATATGAATGAATTATTTAGAAAGTATATCGAGCTTTGTTTTTTACGGTTCTTTGAACCTGAGGACCATAGGTCTGTACGGTTCTTATATAATGAAGTGTTGGATGAAGATATTGATGAATTTATAAATGATTCTGAACATGTAAGTGAAAATGTAAGTGAAAATATTATAGAAAATCATGATTATTCCAATGAATCAAGCGAAGACGTAAATGATTATGTTTATTATAATGAAGAAGATAATAAAGTTGTAGCTAACTTAGAATGTGATTCTACTAAATTTAAAACAAGAATTAATAAATTTAAAGAATACTTTAATCAGTTTATTAGAAATAATAATATAAAAGATATAATTGTAAAATATTATGTTAGTCCTAATGTTATTCAAAAAGTTTATGAATTATAGATGTGTTTAAATAATAAAGATAATTATCAAAAATTTCAAAACTTTTTTGATCATGGTTATTCAGAAATAAAAATCTTAAAACAGATGAATAAAACACTTCCCGTATTTTTCAACATAAAATACCCAAATTTTAAATAATTGTAAAACAAATAAGTTTTTTTTAATTTTATCAAGTTTTATGGTATAAAATAAACAAAAATTATAAAAAATGAGACCAAAAAGTTATTTATGACCAACTATTGTTTTTGAATCAAAAGAACATCTACGTGTACACAATAAAAAAATAATTACAATGAAATAAATTGACTTTGATATTTATACAAAACAAAAAACAATAACCAAAAATGCTTCCAATTGATTAAAAGTTAATTACTGTTCTTTTTTGTTCATTTCTTTATTCCTCTGGACGGGTTTCTCTCCAACCGCTTTTTTATGAATGGGTTTTTTCCGTTTTACTTCTTCTTTTATTCTCTTTTCTTTTTCGTTTCCCATTTCTAATTTTACCCTTTGTCTTATTTCGTCTGTTATTTTGAGTTCTGAAAGATCAAATTGAAGAGAAAACATGTGTAAAAAAACGAGTTGCTCAAGGTGACTAGCGCTAAGTCTCGTTCTTTTCTGTGTTCTCACTATTGAACATTGTGAGAACAGACGCTCAGAAGAAGCAGAGCTTGCAAGAATGCACAGGTATTTTTTGCTTAAGATGTACAAAAATGGAAATTGATATTTGTGCTTCTCCCACCAACTAATTGGTGTTAACACGTTGTTGGTTTTCATTTTGATATATTCGTTCAATTCATTAACAGCGATATTTTCTATATTCATTTCAAAGTTATCATTATGACGATCGTCTCCAGGAAAACTTGTAAGGTCATATTTATCTTGTCTACTCGAACTACACACAAAGCGACTTTCAGACCTAATAATGTTGAATTCCTTTGAAACGAGAGAATTGGTCACTTTATTCATTTCAACCAGTTGTTTAATGCAGACGCTTTCATATTCAACTTTTTTCAAACGACATATACAGTTTTCTTCTTTGCCAAGATAAAAGTCTTTTGATTCAAAGTATCCAGTTTTATATTTTGGGTTGAGTAACGCAGCCAAAATACAGTCTTCATCTTCTCTAATGTCAAGTTTGGGGTCAAATCCCATATTTACATCTTTTTCGGAAATTTTATGGGTTGTGAAAAGCCTCTTGTTCATTTCACTGATAATTGACTTTATTAGTTTTTTGAGGCATTAGTAGGTCCTTCTATTTCAATTTTACTTGTTTTTAAAAAATCAATTTTGCAGTGTTTTGGCAACTCATCAAATCCAAAATAAAGACACCCCTTTACTACAGCACATTTTTCACAACGTTCAACGTGTTCTTCTTCTACTACATCATCTTCTTCCAAATCAGTATATATTTCCGATAAAACTTCAATCAAACGGCATGAAGTGAATATAAGCATTGATAAAGTTGGATAGTTCTCAGATTCTAATAACTTTATTTCTCTGAAAACATGTGACATGATAATATTGTAATGGTGAATGTCTAGAATGTCTTCTTTGGTAATTTTGTAAGTTTCTATAAATATCTTTTTTCTTTTGACATTTTTCATTTCTTTGTACTTTGTTAAGATCGTCACATTGATCGAATCAATAAGTTCTTCCATTCTTTTTGTCATTAAATAATCACTCCCCCATCTCGTTTCGACTTCTTTGACGATTCCTTTGGGGTAGTCTATCATGGCTTGTGCTTTTTTCAATAACGAAGTCAACTCAACACTTTTGTTAAAAAGTGAAGTTATTTTTTTCATTTTTTTGAGTAGGAGAGTAAATCTTGTGACGTTATTAGTAGCATGCTCCGCCACCAAACTAAAAGTATGACAACCACAAGTGAGAGATTTTTTACCAGTAAGTTTTACACCCTTTACTTCATTTGGTGCATTGTCTGTAACAAAGACAAATCTGTTGTTAAGACCCCACTTTGTGATAAATCCATTTAACTTTGTTTTTATTTCTTCTGATGTTTCTCCTTCGTTTTCACCTCTCTGACAAACTTCCAAAACTAATGAACGAAGTCTTTTGTCTTCTATAAAATGAAGAGTCAACGACACAAATTCTTGATCACATTTAACTGTTGACCACCCATCTGTAGTTCCACAATAATAATCCAAACCAGAAACAATTGTCTTAAGCTTGTCTTGAGCTGCATAAAAAAGACAAGGAATGACTATTTCTTTTATTGTACGGCTACCTGGAATGGTACAGTCTGGACGGAAAAAACGAATCAAACTGTGGAATCCCTTGTGATCACAGTGTAAGTAACTCAAGTTTTCTTCGATGACATACTTGGCTATTACTTTTTGTATTTCACTTTTGTCGATTCTTTTAACTTTGGTATTTTTAGAATTTAACCTCATTTTGAAAAACATGTTTTCGACATCTTTTTTAATATGAGCTTTGAATGAAGTAACACTTTTTCCAGTATTTGAAAGAGTCAAACATCGACTACACAATTTACATTGTAATTTGTACACTTTCCCCTTTTCGTTTGGTGTTGGTGGTTTCTTTCCTTTTTCTATCTCTTTAATTTCTTCCCAATTTTCTTTGTTTTCTCCTTCTTTACACTTATAAATCACACAATAATCCCACCAATTGCCAAGATTTTGACCTATAGTATCTTCTTCATCTATAAAAATTTTTGATTGTAATCCATTTTGTTGAATACGTTCTTTTGACAAATCAACTTCTTCCTTTTTAAAATATAAACTCGTTTCGTTTTCCGTACAATTTTCTTCATCATAATCATCATCGAAATTATCGTGTTCTACTTCTGTTCATTCACTCTGACTGTCGGATGAAAAAGAAACAACTTCATTGACATAATGAGACATCGTTTATCTATTTTTCAGTTCGTTTTAATTTAAGAATGATTTTCAAAATAAAAAGATAATAACATAGATTTTTTTTTCAAAAAGGCATTTTTAATTTTTATTAACAACTGTTATGCAAATCATTCATTATTTTTACTGTAAATATTTCATTACCATTTTTAAATTTAC